AAACTTGTTGTTGACTCACCGCTTCACAGTACTTGACCTTTACAGCCGAATATTTCACCGGCAATCGAATGCCCATAGAGTAGCATATTAACGATTAATGTCTCAGTTATTATTATTATTATTATTAGTGGAGTTCGAGGATGGAAAGGTGGAAAGCTTCTATGCAAATCAGATTATTGAAGGGATAATGATGAATGTCGATGATGAAGGTAATACGATGTACCGGATTCGCGAATTTATTGATTATCAACGTGATGGACGAGCAGTTAGAGGGGACGATGGATGGTATACTACCTCCAACGGTTTCAAGCGTCCACGAAAGACAACTAAAGGATGGAAATTATTAGCTGAAATGAAAGGTGGAGAAACCGAATGGCTTGATCTATCAGTAGCAAAAGAAGCGTTTCCTATCAAGGTCGCTGAATATGCTGTTGCAAACAAGCTTTTGTGTCAGAGCCTGCCTTTGCGTGGTGGGTTCCCTACACTCTGAGAAAGCGTGATCGAGTTTTGAAAGCTGTTAAGCGCCGTGCTGTGAAAAGACAGAAGCCAGAAAAGTTTGGGATTGAAGTGCCTGGTCCTGGTCCGAGAGGCGTTGCACGTGCGTATGAACTTGATGCTCAGAATGGTACCTCACATTGGAATGATGCCTTGATCAAAGAGGTCAAAACAATTCTACCAGCTCTGAAGATTCTGAAAGAAGATGAAGATGTTCCGGTCGGATACCAGCTCATTGAGCTTATGACTGTTTTTGATGTCAAGATGGATCTCACACGGAAGGCACGAATATGTGCTAGAGGGGACCAAACGGATCCTCCAATGTCTGTCACCTATGCAAGTGTTGTGACAAGGGAAAGTATTTGACTTGCTTTTGTTATTGCTGCTTTGAATGGTTTGAATGTTTTGAGTGCTGACGTCTCCGGTGCATATCTGAATGCCAAATGTGCCAAGAAAGTTTATTGTATTTTAGGGAAGGAGTTTGGAGAATATGCCGGGAAGAAAGCTATCCTGGTTAAGGCCGTTTACGGACTCAAAAGTTCGGGATTCGCATGGAGGAGCCTCTGTGCAGACGTTTTGAAGGAACAATTGGAGTTCCAACCATGTCGTGGAGATATGGATGTTTGGCGTCGTCCTTGTCAACGCAAAGATGGTTCGAAGTATTATGAGTATATTTTAGTCTGTACACTTCTGTTTTGAGGTGCTTCTGACCTGCTGGCGCGCAAAGGACACATCGGGCTAAGGGGTGAATGAGACATGCCATTTCCGACTAATGCGACTTTTAGGGGCTCGCATTGCCTAGCAGAAGCAGGTTTTGTTTCTGTGCGATGAACGCGCGGTAGTATTGCATTTTCATTTTATACTGCAAAAAAAACCGGTTGTGCCTCTTCCGACTCAATCGATTACTGTTTTTCTATTTTCCACGCCAGCCCGTTAGAAGCACATTTTGCTGGGAACGAAACAGAAGTGATACTGATGATGTCATTGCAATTTCGGAGAATCCAAAAGCTATTATGGACAAACTCAACAATTTCTTTGTTTTAAAACCTGACTCGATAAAAGAGCCAACCACATATCTTGGTGCGACAATCTCGAAGCATAAGTTGGATGGTGATGATTATTTCACCTGAGCTATTGGATCTGAAGAGTACCTACAAGAGTCGTTAAGAGTTGTCAAGAAACAAATTGCGCCAATGCAATTGACTTTGAAGAAAAAGGTTTACTCAACTTTACTCACTGGATACAAGCCGGAACTTGATTCTACTCCTTTTGTCGATGATGATACTGCTATTTTCTACATGCAACTCATCGGTATTCTGCGCTGGCTTGTGGAACTTGGTCGTTATCGATGTCGCTGCCGAAGTGTCTATGCTCTTGTCTTACAATGCAATGCCTTGTGAAGGTCACTTTCATGCTGCCTTACATATTTTTGCCTATTTACAGAAGCATCCTGATTGTGTACTTGTGATGGATTGTGGTTATGCTGACCATCTTAGACCATTAAAGAAAGCTGATTACTCACAGTTCTATGAGTTAAGGATGAACTCCCAAGTGACATGCCTACACCTCTTGGCAAAGCGGTAGAGTTTACTATGTTTGTTGATGCATCTCATGCTGCTAACGTTGTTACTCGTCAATCAAGAACAGGAGTATTGATCTTTGTTAACAAAGCTCCTATTATCTGGTATTCAAAAAAGCAAAACAGTGTCGAGACAAGCAGTTTTGGTTCTGAATTTGCTGCTCTAAAGACAGGTGTTGAATTACTTGAGGGACTACAATTCAAGCTCAGAATGATGGGCGTCCCAATCCAAGGTTATTGTCATACTTGTTTTGACAATATGTCCGTTGTCAAGAACTCAAGTGTTCCTGAATGTCAATTGAAAAAGAAATCGAATGCTGTCGCATATCACTATGTTCGCTCCAGATGCGCAATTGATATCGTACGAATTGAATGGATCATTTCCGCTGAGAACTTGGCCAACGTTTTAACCAAGATTCAAGCTGGAACCGTTTGTGACCGTCTTATGGAAAACATTATGTGGAAAGCAAAGCGAAATGGAAGACTTGCTCTTCTGATTTAAATTTTTGGAAACGTCTTCATCTGTCGCCGGATATTGTCAGTCTTGGACAGTATTGGATGATACGTCCTCCCAAGATATTAGCCCAATTCGGAGTACAAGGTTCTCTGATACATCAGTATCACCTTGAGGGGACCGTTAATTGGACCAGAGAGTGTCCGTCATTCGTACGTTTAGATAGTTTAACCTAGAGATTTGCACACATCTTGTAAAATCCCCATGTTTGTCATCGTACTCGTTT